GTACGCGCTGGCAAATCTAAGTCCGGATTTACGATTTGCTTCATCGTATTAAGTATAAAAATTAAAACGAAAATGGAAAAAAAACGAAAAAAGAAAAAAGAAGAACTCTTGCGCTCTACGCATATATATATTATATATATATTATATATATAAATGTATGTGTATGTGTGTGGGTGTGCCTAAAGATTTTCTCTTCGGACTATCTCTTTCACTCTATATTTACCGTCTTCACGCCTTCTGCTCTCTGCCGCGTGTCCCGATTGTAGGCAATTTTTTGGGGAGACGGGAAGAGAGCGGATCGCTCCGATCGATCCTTGACCGACGAGACGATCGCGTCGAGCTTCGTCGATCCAGAATTCACTTCGATTCGATGTCGATCGATTTAAATCTTTCTTTTACTTTTATCAACAGTAGCACCTCCATTATCTGTATCGTTAGGAAGCTAAAATCTGTCTCAAATCGATCATTTTGTGGATCAAGTACAACAATATAAATATCAATTTCAGACATCGAACAAAATAACACAAGAAAATGATTTACAGAAGGGCTGTTTTGAATCTATTCATAGAACACATGGGTACAGATGGATACTGATTTAATATTAGCGGTCTTCGATTGCTAATATCATGATACTTTCCAATTTTTTAATTATTTTATATCTGGTGTCTATAATACTAGTTAGTTTGTCCGGAAATGAGAACTTTTGGATAGTAAAGTATTAATTTTTCCGAAATCTATCACTCTATATTTCGAGTAAAATTGCACAAATTAAATTGTAATATAAGTGAATAATTTTTTATACACTTTTAAGCTGTGAATAAAAATAAGAAGAGTAAGCTTTATATAAATACATAGATCTAATGCACTTTCGTTTAAAAATTAACTTGCTGTATTTATATCACAATACAAGAACAGATATTGAATTGAATCTTCGTTTGACTTACATTTAAACTTTGTCAAGTATAAATTATTGTCTCGTCTTCAAAAGTGTTTCGATAGTGGAGAATTAGGATAAAGAAGGTTCTACCGTGGTAATTATAGACCCCCTTCGGTGTTGGTTTCCCGTTCACAGTAAAGAAGCGACAATTATCTGATATTAATTGATTCGTCCTCGTTTCGCGAATAGGATACGAATTGTATAGAAAGTATCGTCAGTCAAGGATCGACTGCGTTGTTTAACAATTGTCTCTCTGTGTTCCGGTTGTACCTATAATATATATAAATATATATTCCATCGATCGTTCCTCTTGATAGATGCAGTCGCGACGAAACGACGCGTGTGCACGGCGCGTTATTTATTTGCATAGACGGCGTCAAGCGATCTCATCGGCGACAGTATACGAAAGTATGTACGACGTGTTTTCCAATTTCTCTGAGCGTCTACGGTCGCGTAACGGCGACGAGATATTGGCGAACGAACGACGCGTACGACGGCCTGAAGCTCGTACGATTACATATTTTTTTACGGTTCGAACGGAGAGCGAGAGACGTGACATTTTATCGGGCTCTGCATATTTTAATCCGCGAACGAACATTACAACGGTAAGAATTTTAAAACGACACGCACCGGGGACGCTTGCCGCCAAAATCAACCACCCCTCCCTGTGCATCCGGTCGTCGGCGATGACGAGGAGCGCCGCGACGCTCATCCTTAACACCGTCCCAAAGTTTGTCGACTGTTCTATCGTATTCTAGATTAATAACATTGAAACGCGCTCGTCGGACGCTCCTCCCCGCGATTGTACAATGAGCCAAAAATATTAACGATCATTGTTATGAAAAATCGTTTCGTAACGACAGAGTCACATTTACTTATTCGGTGCAAATATTAATTGAATAATTATGATTCCTAGAAAACTGTACAGAATGAGTCAACCGCAATTTCAGTCGTGTATATTAGCACTGCTTTGAAATGATTGGAGAAGAACGTACAAGGTGTATTTACAATTTAAATAATCGCCAACTTCCTAGTAACGATTTTTTCGACGTTGTCCTAAAATTGACGAAAATTCTCCCCGTCGAAGACACGTTTGGCTTATTTTACACGCGGGTTATCGAGAATTTCTCGTCGCGATGCACATACACACACGTATACGGATTTCGAAGCCCGTGCACGCGCGTGTCGCGGTCTCGCCTTCTGATGTACGTAACGATCAATCTTAAGGATATTATTACAAAGTAAACGAATAAACTTGTCGTCGCCATTGTGATTTAAGGTAGTAGAATCCGCCCTGCGTTGTGTCGCTCAATATGCAGATCTAACCGGCGAGCGTGGCCTGTTTATTTATAATTTACGACAAAGTGGCCAATTCGTATTGACTGCTCCGTAATCATCGTTAATAGCGCTTGTTCGGGCCTCGGTCGTTCATTCATACGGCTTCTATTTCTTGATACTGATATTATTTGCGATTCGCTGAACCAACGCTTCGTGATTATATGTACATTCGTTTGACGGAAAACAGATCGTCGGGTATGCATCTGCATCGAGGACTCTCGGGGCAACGTTTACCTGTTTGTATTGCCAAAGTCACTATTTGACTTTGGCGCGATAAAGTCTTAATAAAGGTTTCATTAAAATACTCAGCCGGCGTTCCCGTGTTTACATCGAGTGAGATTTTTTAGCGTTTAATACAAGCTTTCCCCCTTTTTCCCGTTCGTGCGTCGACAGTGTGTTCTGCGAGTCAAAATAAGACTGAAATGTTATATAACAAATAGTCTATAAACGCTCAAACCACTCAAGAGTACTTGTATAAACACAAGAACTGGTGTTTTATCACAGACCATATGTATTACATTATTTGATTTTAATTTCTCGCTGTTGTTATGTAAATCTTGTACACTCTATTTAAGAGATTGCAAAATGTACAAATAGCAAGTTTCGCTAATATTTTGATATCTTATCAATCGCAAAGATAAGATCACAATTTCTATTCATCCATGACGATTGATTACATGTTTCACTTTGGTTATATAATGTTGTGAATTATCATGCAATTAATTACCAAATTTCAGACTCTATAAATAGAATTCTGCTCTATTATTATTCGAGGAACATAATAAATATAAACGTACGCGAAAAGCGTACCTAATATGGAAATAATCAGCAGTGCAGAATGTCTTGAAAATTGTCATTATAATAAGTTTTTTCAATACTAATTATTCAATAATCTGTTATCAGTAATGAGTTCCCTGAATGGTCTCACTATTCGAGTTACAAAAACGTTCAGTTTGAAATTATAGTAATTCACATTGAAAGCATTTTTCATATTATGCATTAGAGTCTTTCGATCAAATAGCTAACACAGCTTCCATGAATTGTGAATAATGATTATCATACTGAGTCTCATTGATTCCAAATCTATCGTTGCGATTAATTGTTGCCAGAATGAAGTATGCAGTTAACGGCCAGCGTTTAAAACAGAAATCATCCTTATCTTCTACTCACACAATCGTATCCAATTGTGTTACAGTTGATAAAAATTATCGACTCGCCAGTGAGACTGACAATAGTGTGACTCATTCATGGCTCGTATGATCAGGCAATTTTACTCCATTCACATTCGTACATGGAACTCGAAGGGGACGCAACAACACTCGGTATTTGAAGACTTATAAAACATATCAGTTCGAAAATCCTGTGTTACAAAACGAGTTTGGAAAATTAGCACATGAAAAACGCATTTCTCGCTATGCAAACGTGTATGTCGAACTCACACAGCACAGTAGCTCATAAAAACAGTTGAAAGAGTAAACACTGAATGCATACAATGCAATAAAACATGTTATCTCGCTTACTTCAATACTAAATCGTGTGAAGAAATATTATCCATTTATAAAACCCAGGGTAATCTGCCCTTAGGATTTCTATTTGTGTCCTATTTCTTAACGTTACTAATTTATATCAAAAACTGTACCATTTTCCATAAAGGTCTGCTCAAAAATGTTGTGAAAAAAAATGTTGTGAAACGTTGATCATTTTCAATTAAAAGGGATCTTTAGTCGTTATCAATCTTAATAAATCTACTTGAGCGATTATCACCAGATAAAAATCTCCATCACGCAACATTGTAAATCATTTTTGAATCATTCTCTCGTTTATAGCACCATAAGTATATACAGGGTGTTTCAGAGGCCAAAATAAGACCAAAATCAAGGATACTAATTTGTTATAGAAACATTTCCGGCCACACAGTATATTTTCGGTAAAGAATTTTTTTCTCGAAAGTGCGTAGGAATTCGGGAGTATGCGTATTCACCAAAAATGATTGTAATTAATCCCCGCAACCAAAAGTAATTTTTCCAGAACGATTCGAAATTTTTTAATTTTACTTTCCTGAATTTTTTTCTTGAAAATGCGTAAAATTTCGAGGGTATATGTATTGACCAAAAATGATTGTAATTGACCCTTGCAACTGGAAATAATTTTTTTAGAACGATTTGAAATTTTTTAATTTCGCCGAAAAAATTAAGATTTTTTCCAGGGTTGATCGAACGCCCTGTATACATTCTCATCATTCATTTTAAAACAAGGTCTCAAATGTGGAAGTATCGACTTTCAGAATATATTTTCAAGTTCATCCATTATTTATTGGACAAACTCATACTGTATATTACAATATTTGATAAGCAGACCATTTAAAAAAACAAATCGAATTTTTCAATTTTGACGTTCACAGTGTCTTTCATAAGTTCCTTGTTTGTTTTCTGATTACTTGAAAAGTTCGCCTGTATTTAACGCAACAGATACACGCGATCGACCGAGTTTAAATGCCCCACCTTGTATACGGTGTGCATGTATTGGCTGTAAAACGGAGTGTCCGTGGTGGAGGTGGAGGAGGGCAGTAGCGAGAGAAGGGATGCACCGTGTGGCAGAACCAGCCGCGCGTCTCGCGTAGGAAGTGAGCGTTCGTCGGCGGACGTGCGATCGGAGTCGTCGAAGTGGATTTGTGCCAGCGTTTTTTTAACCATTATCTTATCGTATCGCGTTCTATCGCCGACCAAATACCATTAGAAAGCACCGTTTCCGTGAAACGTGCGTCTCTCGCGACGGGCGGGCCAGGCTTTTACTTGCCGAGGGACAAGGCCTCAGCGCAGATGTCAAAGAATGCGAAGAGAAAGGAGAAGCTCGATCGTGAACAGTGAATTCCACGAGTGTGTGCTGCCACGTTGTGCGTGAGTGACTTGACCGTGTGTGCCTCTAAACTATTTCACGTTTGTGTGCGTGCCGTGGGACTTGCCAGTGTACCTTTTCAAAGGTGAACAGAGAAGAGGACGCGGAGAGAGATCATGACAGTGGCAACGACCATTGAACAAGTGGGTCTCTGACCCCAACGGACACGATAAACAGGTCCGGGTTTAAACAGTATTTTATGGGATTATTCTGCGCCGCTGCGCGGGGGCCGTTCGAACATCGTGAAATCGTTTCGCGGAGTCCGACTTGAAATAGCACTTCGAGGTACGTGTGTCCGTTGTTCTCTCTCATCGTGTTTTTCTCCCCGACGATACCCGAGAATCAACAAGTTGTTCGCGATGTGTGCGTATCGAAACTAGATTCACCCGATGCAACGGTGATCGTGTGCATATCGGTGATAAACGTTGGCGGGCTATCGATAATTCGAAGTAACCGTGATTTTATAACTGCTCGATTTTTACTGTATGTACAGTGAAAAGTGGACGGCACAGTTTTAGGCGATTCGAACGATAACTCGCAGATACGTCGAAAAAAGGTTATCGGAAGCAGATGTCATCTTTCGATACTCCAAACCGTGTATAAGTAGACGCGTTACGTGAGCAACGACTATGTGCCTATACAAAACGCAAGAGCCCATTGACGTTTTGGCAAATATTTGCCTCGTTAATGAACAGTTGCCAAGTGTGCCACCCGGTTGATAGGAGTAATTGGAGCGGCTTTATTATTGACTGTTCGCGTTGCCTATATTTTTACTCGTTACTCGGCTCGAACAAAGAATCGTACTGTTGTACCGATTATCTCTTGCACGATGCATCGGTATTATAACATTTATGAGAAAGGGCATTAATGTTGCATGATTAATGATCGCATGGCATCATCATTCTTCCCTGTTTAAACTCTGGTAAAAATAATACAACGCTCTTGCAAATTATTCGAAACGGAGCAGCTGATAGTGGCAAAGTAACTCCGCGCGTAATTTATCTTTTAATTACAAATTTTAAATATATTATTTGCTCCGATAATACGAATGGAAATAATGAAAATTTCAAATAATTTGAGTTTGGTAACGTTGCTTTGTTGAGTATCGTTCATTTGTGTACAAACAAAGACATTGAATTGTAGTTAGAAACATTAAATAATTAACATCAGTGCTGTTATTACATCGAAGACTACTGTAATTTAATTTTTACTTGTATTGGAGCATTTTAATTTTATTATATCTTTTTCTATATTTTTCAATTTGTAAATTTTCTTTTTAAAATTGCCCTATTTGACCTTGTTGTTTTACAATATTTTAATAAATATTGAAAGAAGAGAGGATTAATGTACGGAGATTAGAGATTAACGTTTCCTGAAACTGTGTTAAATGGTAAAGTGTGCTTCCCAGTGATCTCAACGTCAGAACAAAAGTTCTTGCTTCTTAACATCGTAGAAGGACGTTCCGAGTGTTTGGAGGATAACGAGTAATACTTATCATTTTCAGCGGGGCTATCAGTTAATTTTAGAAACTCTGATAGATCTGCTGACGCGAGTTAACTATGATTCACGTGCCGTCCTGGATTGAGCAGAGGTAACAACGAACCGTTTTCCTTTGTCCGACAATGAGGAACATGGGAAACTAGATCCAGTCGTCGATCCCCGGATCGGAACCGAGGAACCATGGAAACGTCGTCGTGACGTAAATGTCGGTTAGTGCAGAAACCGGAAACTCGATGCGTCTGTATCGAATTTCCAAACGGTGATTCACGGGTACAAAACAATTGTCATGCCAATTTAAGGCTTTTTTTTACGTTCCGAGACTTCAGCCTCTGTCACGTGACTCGGATACGATGATTCAAACGCGCCAGAGTCGCCATACGTTGACAGTCGTTTGTTCTCTCTCGGAACGTAAACTCATTTGCAGTTATACATACACATTAAGGTATACGCGCTATGCCTACGATTACCAGATATTTTTCGTCATCCTGATATCAAATAAATCGTCCAATTGTGATCTACGATCGGCCATTTTGAATTCGAAATACGCGCGCGGTTTCCTAACCCAAATTTTTGTCGCTAATTGCACGCATCTTAGGAGTCTAGCAATAAGGCGTTAAACGAACGTCTTAATTGGAAATCGTTTTCAATCTATTCGTAACCTTAAAGGTGTTAATGATTCCAGTTAAGAGTACGATGACATCCTTAGCGCTTGTGCTCGGAATATTAAACACAATGTACGCGCACAATTACCATTCAAATATTTCCTTAATTATGCACGTTCATTTCCATGTTTACTACGTTACACGCGAAACGTGCTAACTGGGCTTTCAGTGAGATAATTTTGATAATTCGCACGCTTAAAAAGCAGAATATTTGATATACCTATCTAGAGAGATTCCCGGACTGGAAATTTAAAAAATTTGCAAAGATACATAGAGTATATGCATTAATACACAATTATTTTTGCCGCACAAATTAACCCCTAAGGGGTTGAAATTAACTCGTGAAAATTATTATTAATTTAACCCCTATTTTTCAGGGGCTCGTTTCAACCCCTTGGAGTGAATTGGGCAGCAAACAAATTGCTCTACGCATCCTCAACGTTTCGTAATATTCTGAAGTTCCGGGTCTTACCCATATAGATCGTTAAATAAAAACATATAAATATAAATTTACGAATCGTTTAGATTTGCCAGAGATTCGTCTGTTAAAAGGTCGCAGCACCTGGGAAAAATTAAGTACAGAAACGATAATTTAGAGCAATTGAAATTATAAAACATGATTTATTCCAACTGCTCATTGCTAATCACGTGACTCGGATGCGGTGATTCAACCGTACAGAAGTGCTTCGCGCTGAGCTGTCTTTATTACTAAAGTAACTGTCGTTGGTGGAATGTACGAAGCAAGTGTTAATAATTCTTCGTGTACGTGTTCGACGCTTCATCGAGATACCCAAACTGAAGGACCGTCCTCGAGTCTTGCAAAGTATGCTTAATTCTGTACTCATTTTTATATAACTTCCACCTACTCTGTGTCTAACAGTTTGTTCCCAAGCATACATAACCTTTTCTCAACCGTCGAATCATACTAATCGTTGGACTTTTTCTTATACTAGTCTTTTTAATAACATTTTCCGTATACCATTAACGTGTTTGCGCAAACCAACATTCTATGTTCTTCTCCGCCAACACGTTACTGGGTGTTAATTTTAAATTTAATTCATTAACCAGGACATTGATTTATGTATTTTTGAAGTCGTTTAAAAAATCAGTATGCTGCGCGTGTATGTTGCAAGAGCAGGTATGAGTTCTGTTTACTCAACGAGTTTAGCGTACTTTCACTACTTTGCTGCAGCACTATGAACAAGTCAACGTTTTTTGTTGGTTGAAACTAATGTATCGGGGAATTTTTAAATGGTAATTCAGAGTTGATTAAAGACATTTCGATTCGCGTATTGAGCCGGAAGCTATTCGTAATAAGTTCTCTAATTTCTTCGTGACAGATACAGAATTCCACGTAATTTGATAGTCACAACACTCACGTGTTTGTAACACCGAATGACGCGACACCATTAAAAGTAATCTTCAATTTCAACAGACTGTTGTTCATTAAACGCGAGTGGTTGTTAAGAGTAAAGAACAGCGAATTAAGAAATTATTGAATTAAAACACTTGGTTAGTTGTCTGCCTCACCTTAACGCATATGGCTTACTTTGCGTCTCAAATTTCACTGAACGCGATAGTATCAACTATCAAGTCATTCTATGCGACAGGTTGACGATAACACTGGAATAATTGATAATTACGTTCGCATAGTATGATCACATCGATTCAGAAAGTAAATTAATGAAGTCTGCGTATGGCTTTAAATTAACATTAATATTATTTAGTATTTACGAATAGTTTTATTTGATATTCGTGGCGGTGGTTCAAGATTTTGGAAAAATTCCAAAAAATAGGACTATTAAAGTTTTGATGCTAATATTTGTCAACGAATAAAGAAATCAATGGGGGTGGACTCAAGCCCCCATGGCCATTTTCTTTGGCGCTGTTACTGATTTGCATATCTTGGAGCAGCCTGCATAGTTTGGTACATAAACGAAAGTTGCAACATAAATACAGTCGAAATGAATGCAACGAGCACGGATAAAATTTCTTTGTTGTAACTATTACTTATTACATCGGTGATACGAAAAGATATGATACCTTCTATTTTGTTTAATTCTTCATAAGTTAATAAGAAGATGTGTTCGAAGAACAGAAGAAATATTAAAGAGAAAAAACATAACGATTTTCTAAATTTCTACCACACCTTTCAAAGAATAACGATTGCCGTATCATAAACCAGGCATAAATCCTTTGTGACCTGTTTAGACCAAGGTTTGAAGTGAACTTGAACCCTTGCCTCCACGATGGGAATTTCTCTGTGAAATAACCTTGATTGGGACACAATGTCACCGCTTCCTTGCTGATTTTATGTTTAAATAAGAAACTAGGGAGTGTAACAGCCATCTAACATTAATCCAAACCTGGCTATTCAAAAAAGGTTACTGCAATTCCTGCTAACCACGAGACAACGGTTCTTAAATTCTAGGAAAAGCGGGTTAACTCGCTCAGGACCGGTTACTAAGTAAGGATTAGTCTAGTAGATCGCCATGTAAGGCAAGATATACCTATAAATGTACAGGCAATATAAAGGAAGTTTTAAACTATCTTTGCAGCGTACAAAATTTTATAAGTAATAATATTTTCTCTGTATAATCTTCATTTTGTTGTTTCTTACATATTAATTCTTTTTATACTAAAGGGGTTTCCCCGTTGATAAATGAATAATAATAATAATAATACGAGTATACAATAATTTTTAAAGGGTTGTTAGAAACTTCAAAAATTATTTAACACCTTTAATCTACTATAGAAGATTTATTTGTCAGGTTTGTACGATATCACGGATATCCGAATAGAAGCCAATTTAACCATTTATCAAGCGAAGCAAATTCATCGATCATCCGTAAGCACATTCTTCGACCAAACAATGGACAGTGCAAATACTTCTATTCAAAACCCATTACAGAAAGGTGCAACGGACTATCGTGATTTTCGTGTGATATTCGTGACTTGTTCATGTTAATAACAGTATTTTTTTCAATCGTTTAAACTCTACTTTTACTAGTATTCATGATTGAGATATACAGTTTCCCAGTATAGTGTTTCATTTCATATTTATATCTTTTCTCGTGGCTCGTTTCTCTTCTATCAAATCGTACTTGTTTTTCTACTTCTCTGCGTCTTTCTATTAGCATTTCTATTATGCCCATTTCCTCCGTTCTTAATTCGTCTATTCCTGCTTAACTTAATCTGTTTCTCATTAGATATTCTCCCCCCTCTGTTTCCGGGCCTCGACGATTCGTTCTTTTTCTTTTAGACATTTCTTAACCAACTCTTTACCTTCTACATTTCTTATTTTCTCGAATTCTAATGCTCTTGTTTAAAATTTTTCTCTTTTCTGTCACCTCTTCTCTTCTTTTTCTGAGATCTTGAAGTACAAAAATCCTGGCTAATCCAACCCACCATCTTAGATACTTCCAAACACATTTACTTCATATAATATAACTCCAGCTACTTAGCAGTTCGAACGCAAACGTATAAAAATATAAGAATTACTTAACGTAAAATACGAATTTTTGTATCTAAGGGTTGAGACAACCCTCTATAAAGCTCCCATTTCATTAATTCTATCAATAAAAATATAAATTTTCATAAAGATCCACAATTTACTTATAACTTATCATAAGCTCTTCATGCCAAATTGCACAAAATCAACTAGCAACGAAACATTTAATATTCTGTGTAAATAATCAATCTTAGAGTAAAACCACATCTTTTTCATTCTTCTCATCGAAATCTATTCATCGAAAAATTTGTTTAAAACGTACGAATATTGTTCAGGGGATCGAAGCATGTGGCGCAGCTTCTACGTTCCTGGATCGTACGGTTGAAAGAGAGCGCCGAGGCGGAGAAATTTCCTATCGAGATGGAGGTGAAACCAATCCCGAAACCTAGGACGTCGGTGACGGATCGACCGGTACCAGCGCCAAGAAGATTACCGTTGGTCGTTCCAGCGGCCAGACTCAGCAGTCACAGCGACTCGAGTCAATCGGAGAAAAGCGACGACTCGAAATCGATCCCGGAGACACGGACCGCGAACAATGAATTTTTTCGCAACCTGAGCACCAGCTCCCGGCAACTGAAAGACGAGATTTCGGAGAAGGTGACGACCAAGGGCCGCGCGGTGATCTCCAGCACGAGAAACGTCAGCATCCGGCTGGAAAAGTCGGTGAAGAACCTTCTGACCAGACGACTGTCGTCTTTGAATCAGGATGAGCTTTTCCGCGACGGTTCCGACGGTATCAAGAAATTCAAGGATCCCGCGGAGGACGATAGATGCGTGTCGATGCCCGCCGACGATATTTTCAGCGGCATCTCGTTCTACAGTCCCTTGAACAGTAATCTGAGGAGCGTCAGAAACGAGGAAGACCTATCCGGTACGCGACCCAGTCCACCGCCTCCAGTTTATCCTCCTCCTCCGCATCCTGACGAGTTTATCTACAACGAGCTGCAGTCCGTCACATCGGGTAGCAGTCGGTACGACACGATCAGCTCGACCATCTCTGACAAAATCGAGAGGGACTTCCCAGAATCGTTCAATCTTCTCAGTTTCGCCCTCAATCAGGTAAAAATTCTATTCCTTCAACATTTCATTTCATTTCGCTGGCACTACCGTCCGTGAGTCTTGAAAAATGCAAATTAATGCTTTCTTACAATTTAGTCGTTTAACCCTTTGCACTCATTGGCGCCTCTATGGCGACGAACGCAATACGTACCATGGCTCGATTCAAGTCTCCTTTTTGATAACACAAATTGAATTTAGGAAATATATGAATAAAATTTAAATTGTAGGTATTTATACATTTTTGTAGAAAAGGGAATATTTTGTTGTTTTTAGAGGTTACATCCCAAAATTGCAAGTGGTATTACTAGTTGTTCATATTAATAAAAACTCTCACAATGCAAAGGGTTAAGTTACATAAATAAATATGAAAACGTGTTTAAAATTGAAGAAGGACACGTAGACAATATTACATTTTAGTAAAATTCCTTTATAACGTAATAAATAAATGTTAGTTTCATTTTATAATTTACATAGCTTCGTTAAGTGTCAGGTGACTTATGGACGGGAGTGTATTTTCGTGAATTATCCTTGCAAACAGGGATGGGCAAAATGTGTTTTAAAAAATACTTACGAATATTCACAAATTTTTACTCTATTCGAAATTTAATGCTTACGAGTATTCGCTTGTTATACTCAGTTTCACTCTCTAATACAGGAAACACGTATATCTTGTAATTGCTTGGTCAGTGAATGCCGAATACATTAGCATTTCATATTCAATGGTTGAGTAAATGCAGAATGTTTCATTCAGAATAGTTAGTTTCATTTATCAGAATAGTTAAATGTATGTCATAGTCGTGTATTATGTACATGGTCTTTATGCAATGTATACTCTATATTTTGTTTAATTTCGTTGTTTATTAACATTTAAAGAGCTTTTATAATGCATTGCATAGGCTAGGAGATTTGATAGCCAACCATATTTCTTTTAACGAAATATCGTAGCAGAGTAAAAATATATTAATCTCTTTATTTCTCGACGATTTGCTTCGCGTAACATAAAATTAGAGATTCAATATCAGCGGTAGTTTCTTGAAAGTGTTTATGGAAGCAAGTAATATTACGTCACTCTAATCGCCTGTTACGTTTGTGACTCAGTGTCAAAGATATGGAAGTTGTCTTACCGAAATCTTTGACGACATTGACCTCCAACTTGACGATACGCGGAGCAAATTTTCGAGAATCATATCTCGTTGATAATTAGGTTGAGGGTTAATAAGGATTAATACATTTGAATTTTATTCAAAATATGACCTACGTAATGTCAAATTTTTCTGTACTTATGGGCGAATTCCCTTCACTTTGTTATCAGGCCAGCGATTCTGATCAAAGCTTAAATTTGTCGGACGTTAACGTAACCCTGCCCCACGACAAAACCGACACAAGAAGGCTATCCAGATCCGATTCTTGGATATTTTACGACACCGCGTCAGCTGGCAAGTCGGACGGGATCGACGAGCTAGACAGGATATCAAGCGCGGAGGAGGATATTCTTGACAAAGAGGTGCCCATTTTGAACAGGACATCCACGACCTCGAACGAGAGTCAAGCGTCCGTGCAAAATTCGTTGTACGAGAATCTATCGCCCCAAAAAGCTGTTCCAGAAGAGAAACAGCCAACGTCGACCAGCTCGGAGACTAGACAGTTAAACAGCAGGTCGCTGTTGTTCGAATTCGATCCATTCGCGCGAACCTCCGACGAGAATGTTTACAGCAATTTCGAGAACAACGATCTGATGTTGCTGGAGACTCTGCTCGCCACGAATGATTCGCATAGCAGTGCTGGAAGCATTCTCGATTACCAGGAAACCGTTGATAATGAGGAGGAGCAGGACGAAGCGGACGACGAAGATATGCTGCATCCGCAAATTTCCGCAGTGCCGCCGGAACCGCCGAAAAGATTCGATTCCTTGCCAAAAAGCGACTACGATGGGGTCGCGGATACCACCTCGGTGCCAGACAAGATCTCTATAACCAAAAATCCGGCACTGTTGCCGAAATTGGCGCACCTGGTGACCCGGAAACAACCCGCCGTGCCACCTAGAAAATTAACTTCGAAAATTCGCGCCAACGATACGCCAACGAACGTGACAGCGACCACCAGTGATGGCACCTCACCAGGTAAACAATTGCCTTTTTTCTGTATACAGTGGCCCCTATACTATACTTCTAAAACCTACCAAAACCTACATTTTCGGGAAATTACATTTCAAGTCTACGAATATAATTTCTAACTTGAATTTATTAGAAGAATAATATACAATTCTGCAAGCACGTTTGAAAAATTGAATGCCTCGGTTATTAACCCTTTGCGGTCGTATGTCTACTCTCAGCCACCAAAGCCTTTTTACCGTTCCGGTCGTATGTCTGCTCTCAGCCACCACAGCAAGGAACTATACGAATCGTATACTGTATGCATTCATGTATCAGTTTACACTTTTCCTATACGAACCTCAATGCCTAAAGGACCTACAGGGTCTGTCCGGAAAGTAATGAGCCTCATTTTTTTGTGACGCGACTATACAACGTACAGCGCTGCGACCGGTTGGGAAAAATGGGGGGAACCTTTAGCTTTCCAGCGATACCACGGGAAGTCGCCTCCGAGCTCTGGGAGGGTTAGGACGAGCTGCCACGTAAACGTCTGTACAGTGACCTCGTCGTAGTTACGATGGAAAAAACGTTAGAACAGCGTTATGCGGTGAAGTTTTGTGTTAAACTGAACAAGACGTCGAAGGAAACATGGGATATGCTTAAAGAAGCCTTCGGGGATGCTTGCATGTCCTATTCGCAGGCAAAGAAGTGGCACAAGTCGTTCAGAGAAGGTCGGGAAGAGGTTACCGACGAGGCCCGTTCTGGACGCCCACAAACATCACGAACGGATGTTAATGTTAAGGGGATCGTGCACCACGAGTTCGCAACCCCTGGCCAGACCGTCAACGCTCAATATTACAAGGAAGTGCTTAAAAGGCTGAATCGCAAGGTCACCCGCGTCCGAAGAGAGATCCGAGCTTCATGGAAACTGCACCATGACAATGCGACGTCTCACACCGCCTTTGTTGTCACCTCCTACCTGACTCGGATCGGTGTTGCAACGATTCCCCAGCCACCCTACAGTCCCGACCTAGCCCCGGCGGACTTCTTTTTGTTTCCTCGGCTGAAAAGGGAGCTCAAAGGACATCATCTGGGCACCCTGGAGAACGTCCAAGCGACTACAACGACCTTATTGAACAGCATTCCGGCCGAGGAGTTCCAGGGAGCTTATGCAGCATGGAAATCACGCTGGCAAAAATGTATTGATGCGCAAGGGTCCTATTTTGAGGAATATTAAGTTGTTGTACCTGTCCGACCAATAAACTTTGTAAAAAAAAATGAGGCTCATTACTTTCCGGACAGACCCTGTATTCACGAACCAATACGATGCTCCATCAATTGGAGATAACGTAATTTAATGTACACAAAAGTTGTAACTCGTCATGCAAGACGCAGTGGCGAGTCAGTTGTCTTTTGAACGTAGTGAAATCGACAAAGTTCGACGATACCTTGTAGAATTCCAAAGAATATTTTATAAATTGTATTTAACAGTAATTAGACATTCTCTCTTCTTAAAATATTCCAAAATAATTCCCCAAAATGCGATACATGCACTCGAAAACCTGGCCTGCATGTTGGAGAGTGTTTTGAAAAATATCACACGAAGGAGAATTATAAAACATAATTTTTATACAAAAACATATCACAAGATGAGTGTATTGAATAAAGATATATCTAAAGTTCACAAATGAATTACTAAAACTCGTTTATACATCGCAAACTTGCGTGTTATGTATCCCTGCTCTATCGACAGAAATTAATTCCGACCAATACGATACCCATCTCCAAATTTAATCCGACCGCAAAGGGTTAAAATCGCATTAATAGAATGAGAAACGCTAATTTTATTTATCTACTAACAAATGGCCGATGACTTACGGACCGGAGTGTACTTCACTCTCAATTAGTTGCGGCATCACGTTTTGGCGACAAACGTATTTTTTTAAGTGCTCGTCTCTTCCGCATATTCCAGTCACAACGACGGCGACCGCCACCTCGACGGCGAAAAGCACCGATGAAACTGTGACCAGTCCCTCGAAAGGAAAAACCACGGAGGAGCATCGACGCATAGGCGTGATACAGAAACTAAAAAAACTCAGGCACGAATCCACCAGCCACGGTATCAGACCGAACATGATCAATTTCGTGAAGAGCGGGAGCAAACTGTTGTCCAGAAATCGTGACCACGGCGGAGTGTCGAGCTCTAAATCGACGAAACTGGAAAGGCCAAAGGTCAACGCTCCGCAGAATCCTGCGACGCACAGGGGAATTGTTTACAGGACTGGCGTTGGGATCGAAAGGGCTAAGGACCTCGTGGCGCGAGCGACGGTGTTGGCTGACCAGAAACTCTCGTTTTACGCCGATAAGGGCATGTCTACTCTGAAGGAGGTCATTCACCTCGATACAGTGTACAGCATTCATCTTCTGCAGGATGTAAAGTGAGTCCACTGTTTCGTACGATAGAAGGACGCGTCTTGAGATAATGATGTTAAATCCACGCAGAAGCGAGATCCAGAAATGTATAAAATCTGATCGAGAATAACAATGTTTCTATTTTGATCTTTGCATCGCGAGTCTCCGAAACAGAATGAAGGTTACCACTTTTCGAAGCGAAGATAAATGTGGAGAAACATGTTGTGTAAAACTACTTACAAAGTGGAGATATTTGTAATATTCTAAATCCTATAAGAATTTTGATATGTAAAATTTAACTGTACTGAATTTGATAAATATTTAAATAATTCTATCGATTTAAATATCCTTACTGAATCCATATTAAATATAATATGATAGTCGAATAATGCCAGTAAAAGAAATACATAAAACGCTGATACTCCATGGTTTAAATTATTTTTAAATACATTTGTTAAATCTCGTTCGCGACCCTTTGCAGTTAAACCTGCCTGTTCCCAGCATTTTGCAAAAGGAAGCGTACTTTACATATAATGAGATTAAATGTTGAAGGAAAAGGAGGATAACGAAGGCGATTTAAAATGTTCAGGGTAGTCGATGGCGAAACAGTACATTGCATAGCAATTAGCGTGGAAGGAAGGCTAAGCGTTCACGTATTCTACGCGAAGGGCATCGCTGAACGAAGAGTGTGGGCTCAAAGAATATTGGAGGCCGTTACTCCAGTCTTTCTCACGAAATATACAGCCGAACTAACGAGAGCAGGATGGGCCTACTTAAAGGTACAAAAGTTCCATAGTACTACACCAAAATTCGAATTTTTAAAATCTAACAACTCAATAAATCTTTAAAATTCCCAAGCTCACTAGCATCTATATCAGCAACTGAAAGTACGTACTTACATTGCTCAATACCTAACTTGCACATATGTAGTTTCTGGAAACCTTTCTCGAATGAGAAACAAACACTATTCTAAATAGGATCACCTATATTTATTCATCACTGAGTTAAGAATCAACTTGACAGTCAAAATAATTATTGTCTGTCATATTCCATAACTCAGATATTCACTAAGACTATTATTAAATTAAATGCACGTTCACCGTAGCGTTTTGTTTAATCCTTGAAACTCGATTCGTTTGCATCAACTGTCCAGAAAATATACGATAATATATGGACATATTGGACTAAGAAATTAATATTAATTAATGCATGTTTCAGGAAGGTATAACAGGTACATGGTTTCCAGCTTGGGTTCTCCTGCACCAAAGAACTCTAATTTACACGAAATCGCTGGACCCTCTCATGGCCATAACTTTTGGAGAACTCGACCTTCGAAAAGCGCGTTGCATTGGTATGTTATCTTTATTATAAAAAAAAATTGCAGTTCCATAGAAGAACTGTTTATTCAAATTATAATTATCGTTAAAGACATTTTCTGAATGCCTGTCGAAGGACTCGTTGCTTCCTTATGATAGATTGTGGCCACGTATGATTAATTGTAAGTGTGTTTTTCGACTGCAAATGACAAGCATTGACCTTGTTAAACTGCGCATCAGTAGACGATATTTAACCAAATTTACAGTCGAAACAATATTTTGATCTACCATATAATGACGTCACTGGTTATATTAGTAATACATCCCAGTAAATAAAAGAATTAACGTATTTGCACACCGAAAGGGGACAGACAATGGGAGTGTAAATCATGAAACTTATTTCGTAGCATTTCTCATTGAAACTGACCAGAGATACAATTAATATTTTGTTCTCCGCGATTAATATGTATTTTAACATCAAATTTAAAACGTATCAACATACTCGTTACGAAACAGTCGAATTATTGTTACGCTAATTGCTCGTTTGGCTGACTTAAAAGAAGCATTATCTTTTAATTTACTGTCTCAGAAAAAAGTAACGATACATTGTCAGAAATTCTATATGTATTTTTATATTTCTTTGGCACGATATACAGGGTGTGCCTGAGAAAAATTGTAATGGGAGATTCTAGAGGCCAAAATAGGAGGAAAATCAAGAATACCAATTTATTGATGAAGGCTTCGTTAAAAAGTAATTAACATTTAAAGTTCTGCCCGTACTGAATTTTTTTCTCGGAAATGCGCAGGATTTCGGGGGTATGTCTATTCACCAAAAATGATTGTAATTGACCCCCGCAACCAAAAATAATTTTTTCAGAATGATTTGAAATTTTTTAATTTTGTCGAAAAATTTCACACCTTCTCGAATTTTTTTCTAGAAAGTAGATAGGATTTCGGGGGTATGTCTATTCACCAAAAATGATTGTAATTGACCCCCGCAACCAAAAATAATTTTTTCAGAACGATTTGAAGTTTTTTAATTTTGTCGAAAAATTTCACACCTTCTCGAATTTTTTTCTAGAAAGTAGGTAGGATTTCGGGGGTATGTCTATTCACAAAAAATGATTGTAATTGACCCCCGCAACCAAAAATAATTTTTTCAGAATGCTTTGAAATTTTTTAATTTTGTCGAAAAATTTCACACCTTCTCGAATTTTTTTCTAGAAAGTAGGTAGGATTTCGGGGGTATGTCTATTCACCAAAAATGATTGTAATAGACCCCCGCAACCAAAAATAATTTTTTCAGAATGATTTGAAATTTTTTAATAATTTTTTAACGAAGCCTCTGCCAAGAAATTGATATTCCTGATTTTCGTCTTATTTCTACAATCTTCGATTAAAATTTTTCCGGATTGGCCGAACACCCTGTATAAAACATACATAGTGATTAGTTGGTACCTGTTTGGAGAGTTTCGTACGTTGTGTTACAGTTTTACGAGAACAGGAAGGGCCGAATTCCGGTGCCGGTTCCGTTCCAGTGGTGGTCGTGGACACAGGTGGCAGTGGTGCATTACACATGACTGCACCAGGTACACACGAAGGATCTGCATGGAGGCACGCGCTATACCAAGCAGCCACTACCTGCGGCCCTGCTTTGGAACAGCAACAACTCACGCAGGACGACGTGCCTGTGATCCTCGACAAATGCATCAATTTTATATATGTACACGGTAAATTTTTCAGTATGTCATTGTACACTATCACAATCGATAAACAAATAAAGATATCTCCGTGTCCTGTCTTACTTCAGAGCTGAGCCAATTTAAAAAAAAAAATATTCGAATACTATTTCAAATAATAGACGTCGAGAGGATCACGAAAAGTAGTCGGAACGTTGGTGAACCCTAGCTCGTAACCCACGTGCGGCTCTTTTGTACCCTTGCTACGGCTCCCGTATACTTATTCAATTTATTAAATCAGCACATAAATTACTTGATACAAAATGCAATTACTATACAAATGTAAACCGAATTTTAAACGGTTAATGTAATTACAAACTTACAAAAATTATAGAAGTAACAGATCATATATGTTAATATATATTTATATAAAAAGAAATTAATTTATGCGGTTGTCGAGTAGTTGGGCGATTTTTGAAAATACGTTACTTTGAAAATATTAATGTCACATTGAAGGTATTATGTCGGAGGGCATTTATCGCCAAAGTGGATCCAACAGCGCCGTTGTTCGATTGCTGCAGGCCTTTCGACGGGACGCATGGGCGACGCAAATTACAAAAAGCGCGTATACAGAGCACGATGTCGCCACGATTCTCAGAAGGTTTCTCCGTGATCTACCGAATCCATTGTTTCCCGCCAAGATACACGATCGGCTTTGTCTGAACTCAGGTAAGGAGCATTCACTGTCCTTGATTCGCCGCGCACGGTCTCAATCTACTAACTCAACGCTTTGACAATGAAACCGCTCGAATGCTACTAGTTAAATGCGAATAACTGAATTCTACGGAACGTTAACGAACGAAAAATACTATTCAATACTGCATTTGTAAACGATTTGATCCTCTTATGGTCAGACGATCGATTTATCACCTTTCGAGAATAATTCAGTGAAAACTGTTACTTTGAAAATTAAACAGACGCTTCAGACAGAATATTTCATGCTTTTGTGCCATTATTGGAAGCAAAACTATTATTCTATAGAAATACAATTTGTTATTTATTTTTCGAATAAATTTTGCTCATCCTGGATATAATTGGAACACGTCAAAACAATGCTAAGTTGCGTACTTTAAAAATGGTTTCTCAAGCTGTCCGTCACATTAACAAAGAAGTTAGAACTTATGTTCAAGGAGCAATACGTGCAAATAAATCAGGAATAATGTCAAATTGACCCGTATTTACTCCCACGTACACTTTCTCACACTGTGGTCCCCTTTCATCAGGAAGCATATCATTAAATTTCCGGTGTTATTACTAACTAATTTAACCCTCCCGAATCCTTTTCGTAACACGAGCAGGCGCGTTGTATACACTTTATTATGAAATTTTAACTTGTGTGTCAAACAGATGCAAAATATTTATTTAAACATATAAAATAAACATTGTGGGATAACAAATATTTTCGTTATCAGTGTTCATAAATAGGAAAAACATGGTATATTATTTGTAGAATGTTTGTTACATACAAATCGATTGCACATACTGCATCTTAATGTAGTTGCGGTATTAGTACACTAGCCATCTTCGTCCAATACGCGATAAAAAATATACGGAACATATCTCACGCAATTATGATATAGAGCACTTTATAAATGTCCTCAAGACTTCAACCTTGAAAAAAATGTAGGAAAAACAGTCCTGTAACATTTGCATATTTTTCCAATTTCATCAGAATTCTCCACAATGAATATTAATTTTCAAGAAAATGCAGGAAAGAAAGTCCTGCAACATTTGCACATTCTTCTGCTTTCACTAGAATTCATAATTGTTTTTAAGACTTCAACTTTAAAGAAAATGCAAGAATAGAAAGTCCAGTAACATTTGCTCATTCTTCTACTTTCACTAGAATTCATAATTGTTTTCAAGACTTCAACCTTCAAGAAAATGCAGGAAAAAGTTCGTTTTTAAAACTTTGAAAATGAAACGTGATCCCAGTATGATAATAACGAGGGAACGTTGAACTCGAATTTATTCGATGTTTGCAGTAGATTTTCAATCTGCTTACGGCGGAATGTTGCGTGAGAATCGCACGGAGGTCGTCGATGAATCATGGTTTTTCATAAGGAGCTATCGTACTTCTCACGTTAGTGAAAGCAACGGTGTGCGTACACACAGGTACGTGCATCTCCGATAAAAACCGCACGTGATTTTTTTGTCTCGCCGATAATGATACCTTGAAGAAGCGACGCGGATTTTAAGATTAAAAAAGATCAGACTGTCAAATAGAACTCATACTTTTCGTACGGCTCGTATTAATTTCAGTACACGAGTCGGGAATTTAGAAACAGAATCAATAAATATTAAAAATTCCTAACATTTAAACTACAATTAAATATTATATCAAAATATACTAATTTAGGGTCATTCGAAACAATTTATTTATTCATTAATAGCGATAAAATCATAACTATACTAACGTTTAAGTATGTGTTATCGAATCAACAAAAATAAAAATTTAATCATTTTACTTATTAATTAAATATTTAGAAATACCAGTTTTTATTCAAAAGTTCATGAAGAGTGAAAATCCAAAGATATCGATAAATGATAATGCTAATAAATAATTCTAAATCTAAAAAATAATAATCTTATTATTAGTATGGGAAGGGGGGAGTTATCAAATTGTTATTGCTTACACGATATCGCATACTTTTGAACGACCCTGATAACACTATGTGTTCGATAGCTCCGATATAAATTTCAATGGTGACACAATTGCTGAGACGGGTTTAAAGTATGGCCTTGCAAAATTGAAATATTTCTGAAACATTATAATAATTTTTCTATGCTCACATTTAGGGACAATTGAAGGAATACATTAATTGAGTAAAATAATAATGAATTGATAATAGTAACCATGCATTCAATAATATTTAAGTGCAAGATATGTTTGAATGATTGAATTAAAATTTTTACAATTTATCTTCACCGTTTATATCATCACTAACCTCGCAGTTTTAATAATAATAACAGCAAAACTTTGAACATTCCTATGTGAAAATTCGCTTCAAAAACGACGTCGAACGCTACTCTTGCAGAAATCGCAACTTACCTAACTACTTACATATTTAATGATAGAACAAGGTCTACAGTACTCATTATACAAGCATTAACTGTTAAAATTGGACAAATGGCTGTAAAATACTACGGCAATGAAGAACTCCGGCGAATCACTATAGGCGATCTCAAAATGCGAAAATTGACGCGCAAGACACGATCGTTAAAGAAAATTGCTAGTAAAAGAGTTGCTTTACCGAAGAAGGTTTATTATATGCCTCTCAAGCAAATGAACTATAATAAACTAGCAACATTGTTCTTCCACCCCGGGGGGAAAAATGACAAAGAATTCAGATGCCAACAAATTACAAAATACCAGATAAAAGTGAGATATTTATATAGCTGTATTTTGCTTTTCAGAGAACAATAACGAGAACGATAAAGTCTCGACATACAGAAAACTGTTAGCTCCGTTGAGTCCTGTGCCTGCGGCGACACTCAGGAGGATTCTTGCTCACCTTCACTGCTTGAGTCAGCAGTGTTCCAGGAACCTGATGACTGTCGAAAATCTATCCGCGATTTGGGGACCGACATTGATGCACGCCGGTGAAAACAGCGCGGAGGAATGGAACAGAGCCGAGACCAGGGTCGTCGGTGATCTAATAAGGCTTTATCCGAAGCTCTATCAAGTAACAGCTGCCGATCTAGAGAAAGAGGCGAAAATATTGGAGGTCCTCGAGAAGCATCACGTGTCGAACAACGGACTACGGGGAGCGCCATCGGGCGATCTGAAAATGTGGATATACATTTTCTCGATAGACGGAGAATGCGTCAATGTGACCGTAAGAATCATTCCTTAGTTCTATTCTGAATTTGAAGAATTTACATTAGTATCTAAACTTCAGCGTTATAGAAATTTGACTATCAGATTTCTTTTAAACTCAATTGTGATCTCTCGTGAAATGCCCGATTGATTGCATAAAAAGCAACGGACATTTCGATTCTCGTGGGTTATAGCAACTTCTGCTTCGCCGTCACCTTGATTTATTTTTAGAATGACGTTAAACACGTTCCTATAAAACAAGTTTGTTGAATTCTTTTTTTCGTTTATGTATCTTCACGTTCTCAAACCAAGAATATGTTTTCGTTCAAAAATTCTACAGAATTCCATTAAAAAAGCAGAAATTAATCTCGAAATGACCTTCAAAGTCAGAGAGTGAATATTTCTTTATTTTACATTTCCTTTTATCTCTTAATATTTAGCAAATGGATTCAGATACCTAACTTTAAGGCATTTAATAGATTCGATGGTAAACTTGAATTTTTTAGATTTCCTATTTCTTTTTTTAACAGAATTTGAAACCATAATATATAATAGTACCATACGCGTAATATATTTAATAATAGGAAATGTAATACAGAAATATTTGTCATAGATTGGGCCACAAAAGACCGCGTTCGACATTTGCCAGGAACTCTCCGATAAAACGGATTTGCCGGCACATGAATTATGTTTAGAAGAATATACGTTGTCTGGTGCATTGGAACGACCACTGCATCACGCCGAGCGTGTCCTCGAAACAGTGGCGAGGTGGGGATACTGGGATCCCGAGGATAGAAAGGACAACGTCCTCATTCTTAAAAAAGATCAACTGTACAAGGATATAGTACCACTGGTAAATATATTACGATGTTAGATCAAAATCAAATTATAATTTTCCAGATGAAAACGAACGTCCCGTTGTCACCGAGTAAATGATTCATTTATTATAAAATTATAAGTCTGTAAATTTATTTTACGTCTCATTTAACACGATCCGAATACGTAATATTCTTTGTGTTAGAGGGGTTCAAGGTTGTGCATGGCTGAAACTATTTTCCATAGCGACCTGCCCAGCGCGGATCAGATTGCGTGAGTCAGAAGGGAAAGATAAATGCACATTTGCCCGACACAAAAACAGGATGTAATTTAATTGGACTTGATCGCGGTCGTTGTTTTCACTTCACATTGCTAATGTAAAAATTGGTTCACAAAAATGACCATATTATTCTCTCCTTAGCTACTTCGTTTTATATAACTATTTACGTTGTATATTAAACATACTCGTCTCGTTATGTATGCACATTTTCATTAAAGAATTTTTTTTTTTTAGATAAAACCGCCATTAACACCATCCGGTGAACTTAAATTTGCGGACAGAAAGACTAAACATTTCAAAACCTACCTCTTCGAACTTAGTCAAGCGAAGCTTTGCTGCTACAAAGACAAAGTCTGTTCTAATAAATTGTATGAATGGAAAATAGAAGAAATCGTTTGGTATTTGGGCCACGAACCGAAGCGAAATCCGCAAACTGGGTAAGCGTTTTATTCTCTATTTGTATTGAACAAATTTTGTTCGTAATTTTGAAAAATATATGTACATTCCTTGTTTCAGATGGTCCATCACGTTCTTACCAAAAAATAAAAAACCAACAAGGTAACATTGGAATAAAGTCTAAGAAATTCCCATTGATGTATCGCATTTAAATCTTTCAAATTAAAATTAACATTACGTTTTAGGTGTAAAGAAAGCCCATTTTTTGGGAACACGTTGGCGGGAACATTAAAGGACGATCAATACAAATGGTTAGCAGCTATGATCTTTGGGGAATATCAACAAAATCTACGTCCTTCCGCAATTAATCTTATGGATCCATAAATGACTAACGTATTTGTCTAATAGAGGTACAAACGAACCATTAGACGCCGATTTTAATGAAACTTTACACAAATGTTGGTCAAACCTAAGAACTATGACTTATCATTTCATTGCTACTAATTTCCAACTTTAAAAGAGGTTCTATTTTTATTGAAAACATTTCTTGTAAATTTAAAAATTATGTAAGCCTGGGTGAAACATGTGATTCTGATATAAGAGATGGTTTCTATTCTAAAGTTAAAAAGTAGTAACAATAAAATACGGCATAATTCTTATATATAATATTTTTGTATTACATATTAAACGATTTTGTCCTTTGTTTAGTGCCCATGCTTGCCTTAAGACGAACACGATTATAACACTGTTAAATCGTAATCTATGTACGTGTATCAAAATAAACGATATCATTGAGAAAGTTCTTAAAGCAAACGAATATAATGCTAAAACTTACTCGAACATTTCAATGGTTCAAATAACTTAATCAATTTTCGACGAAAAAAACTAATTTTTTTAATAAGATAAGTTGTACATTTAAATAAACTTTATATAATAGTTTTGTACGTATTATATTTTATGCAAATGTTGACGTGTAAAATAACAAATTAATTGTAAATGAAATTTGTCATTTCTATTTTTAAATAAATACCCAGAATAAATCTTAATTAACGCGAAACTATAATAATAGTTCCTCCTTGGTGACTTTATAATAATAATAACTTTTATTGTCTACAAATAATAATGAACATAATAAAAACATTTATTTTGAAATGTTTGAACATTAAAACATAATAATCTGTTTCAGTGATCTGTTTTAAATGTCCACCCTGTATAAATAATGGTAACACCATCATCACAGTTTATACAGTTGGTACACTCTCCTAATTTTTGTGTCGCTGAGGTTTCGTACGGATGTACCAACAATATGTAACTAAAAACATAGTGAAAAAAGTTAAAGTCCCTACATCCCCTTAAATTCCAAAAGATACCTATCTATAGTAATTATTATTTATGCATCATGCATTGACAAAATGTATTAAGTTCTGAGACTCAGAATCCGAATGTTTATGCGTATAAAATGGGATTTCACATGAAAACGAGACATTAGCTATGACGCTGTTCAATTAAAAACAAAAACGCCGGGCGATTAATTGTAAACCTTATAATTTGAAGGTGAGTATACACGTGTTTTATTGTGTATGTAGGTATATTCGGTTTGCTTAATTCTATATTAACTCAAAAGAGTACAAATTTGACTAATATATTATAATAATTATAAACTGAGTGATAAACAGTATCTTTCAATTTAAACAGTATTTTTTAATTCTGTTACAGATATATAATCTTTCTTAAAGAAAGATGTCTCACATTAAGGCACATGATATATATAAAAAGCCTCGTACAAAAGACATCAAAATACAAGAAGATGTCACATTTTTTCAAATGGGTGTTAGTCAAAAGATTTTAGATGGATTAGCATTTTGTGGTTTTCAAAAGCCTTCACCAATACAGTTAAAGGCTATTCCATTAGGACGATGCGGACTTGGTATGTACCATTTCAGATTTATATTATGTTTAAGATAGCTTTAACTGCTTGAATTTATAATTGCATATGTTGATTATAGACTTAATAATGCGTGCTAAGTCAGGAACTGGGAAAACTTTAGTGTTTTGTGTAATTGCACTTGAAATGATTGATGTACTAATATCATCTGTACAAGTATTAATAATAGCACCTACTAGAGAAATAGCTGTACAAATTTCACAAGTTTGTTCATCCATAGGGTGCGAAATAAAAGGTAATTTCTTTAAAATATTTAATAAAATACTCTTGTCTCCTGAATCGTTATAATTGTGCTATAAATCAAATTATTTTATTATTCTAGGATTAAAAGTTGAAGTATTTATTGGAGGAATGGCTATAGAGGATGATAAAAAAAAGATTAATGGTTGTCATATAGCTGTTGGAGCCCCAGGCAGAATTAAGCATTTAATTGACGAAGGATTTTTAAAAGTTGAAAATGTTAGATTATTTGTACTTGACGAAGTAGACAAATTATTGGACACTAGTTTTCAGAAAGACATCAAGTTAGTATAATACTAATTATATCATTATAGTATTTTCTGAGAAGTTGTTACATGATTATCCCTTCTACTTTTGTGTGTATTTTGCTTGCTGCTACTGCAAGGTGACAACTTAACAGAAAATTATATACGGATATTATTAAAGATATAGCCATATTATATATGATATATTTAAATTTCCAGTTATATCTTTTCAAAATTGGCATTAAATAAACAAGTTATAGCATCAAGTGCAACTTATCCAGGGGACTTAGAAACATTTTTATCAAGATACATGTGTTCGCCAATTCTAGCATCCCCAGGTGACGGACCACTACTTGTTGGACTACGACAGTTTGTAACAGTTACTGCTTCTCATCCAAATGCCATGAAACAGGTAAGATTTAGCTTTTATTTCATTAAAACCTAGGCTGTACTTCCACATGGCACTTACAGCCGACCAATATGAAATTCAAAGGGGTTAGGGGTGATGCAGAATGAATGCCAACTATACAATTTTATCTTCGGTAATTTAATAGTTTTTGAGATACTCAATTAGGTTTAAGTATCTTTTATTTCGTCGCGGAGCAGAGAACTATTTGCGGACCGGAAATGGTCTGACATTATACATATTTAAATTGGATTGGTATAATATATTGCAAACTAGCCTTTCCCGAACGTTAAAATTAGACTTTAATGTAAAAAGAGGGAGTCCATTATCCTTGCAATACTTTATAGATTTGCTCGAAAGTAAAAATCGTACCGCCGCTGAAACTTTATCTCACTCGCACTTTCTGGAAAGACATTCGGGATTCCCTGAAAGATCTATGCCCCTTCAACTTTGGTCACTTTCAGTCCCGAACACCGGCCAATATCTAAGGCATTACTCTATGTCTTTATCGTTGCAAGACGGACAGAAGCGAAAGCATTTGTCAAAAATGTTTTCATTAACCAAGAACGAAAGTTAGAGGTTAAATACCGCCCTAATTCGAACTATACTAGCGGGAATCTGATTGCATATACATATAATTCTTAATATTTTTTCATTAATATCTTGGAAACTGTTTAATTCCCGATTTTAAAATTGTATATTTAGAATCTATTCTTTCTCCACCTACTCGCCTCTAAATTTCATGTTGATTGGTCGCGGGTGTCTTTCGGAAGAATATCCAAAACATATTTGCATGAATATTTTTGAATTACAAGAGCCTTATATGTACCTTATATTTTAGGTTCAAATAAAAGTAGATGAATTAATTAAAATATTTAATAAAGTTTCATTCAAACAAAGCTTGGTTTTTTCAAATTACCAATCAAGGTAAATATAGATGTGTATTTAAATTTAGCTAATAGTATACAATATTCATATTCAAAATTACAATTTTTTTGAATTATAGAGCTCAATCAGTGTGTAATAAAATTAATTCTATGGGTTTCAAAGCAGCATACATTGCTGGAAATCAAGACATGGCAAAAAGACTTGAGACAATAAATCAGTTAAAAACTTGTAAATTTAGAATAATGTTAACAACTGATTTAACTGCAAGAGGTATAGATGCAGAGAATGTGAATTTAGTTGTTAATCTAGATGTGCCTGCAGATGCAGCAACATATTTACATAGAATAGGAAGAGCTGGACGTTATGGATCTTATGGTATTTCTATAACAATAATTGCAGAAAACGAACTTGAAATATTCCAAAAATTATTGGATTCTGTCGGGGGTTCACATTTTTACGTTTTGAAACTTTCAAATTATCCAGATGACATTTGGAGTACTTCCAGTACAAAGTTTGAAAAATTCTATGCAAAATCTAATATTTTTAACGAAAACCAAATTGAAATTGATAATGATATTAAAGTCACAAATGATTCAGCTATAACAGTTGCAGACATAAACTTACAGAATAATGTAAATTTAGAGAATATTTTGTCATCAGACAATGTAAATAACGAAACTGTAAATAATACACAAATTTCTGAAGTAGAAAGTGTAAAAAATAACAGAATTACAAATGTTGATAATTTCTATAAAGATATTCCCGGGATAAAAAATTCGTTTAATATAAATAATAAAATAAAAATTAGTTCTATATTTGTGGAAAACATTGATGCCACACATGAACTTCAAAATACTGAAAAAAGTAAGGCAAAATCAATAGTTACAAGTTCATATAGTTGGTTGAAACCAAAAGTTATACATGAATTTAAATTAAATCGTTTATCAGATAATCTATCCAAATGGCAACAAGCTAATGACAATGTTAAGTTTAATGTTGATTTAACAGATATTCAAGGAGATGATTTATCTATTTCTAACACCGAGAATATCGTAGACTATTTGAGATACAACCCTCATAAAAAAAGTTTAGAAGAAAATTCTGAAAATATCGATTTATGTTCTGAAAATGCTACTTCTAAAGAGATTGACAGAACAGACGAATTAATAGCATCAGCACAGGAGATTCATCTTATAGATGATAATAGTGTAATTTCCGATTCGAGAGTAGTTTTAGATGAAATGCATGATTTTACAGATACTTTGGTTATAAAAGAATTGATCGGACGTATCTCCGAATATATGACAGATTTTAGTAAATGTGATAACAATTTATCGTTAAATGAAGAGGACTTAATAAAACAAGCAGTCATTTGGAAAGAAAAACTTAATTTTGAAATTACGTTATTAAATTCTTTAATGCAACCCATGAAAGAATCTGTTCAAAAATTAATATATTATGAACATTTACAAATGCTCAAAATATTTTATAATGTGCAAAAACAAGCTCTCATGTGTACTTATCCAGAAATACGGAATGATGACGAAATCAATGACACATATTTGTATTCTGGATGTGCTGTAAATGAAAATTTATTACAATTATATAAAGAAATAGAAGATTTTAAAACATTACATAGAATAAATGGACAAAAATTTGATGCTTATTTTCCATATCCCATTAAAGAAGATTCATATATGCCAGGTCTTATGATCTTGAAAGAAGATATAGAAAGTTATCGTAATGCATTAAGATATTTGAGATCAAATCCTCATCCTAGAGAAAAGTTGTTGCAAATAATAGATTTTGTAGCGTTCATTAGCGAAAACAAAAAACTTGAGTTGATGGAAAAATTGAAAGGTCAAAGAGGCAGGTCGTTTGATGAATTATTAACAGTAATACAAGGTGAAGTGCCAGGCAATGAATCGGATAAAAATAAATGCACGGAGCTAAAAATTAATTCATCAGAGCATATTAACGATGTAAATCACGTTAAAAATGGTACTCATTCCAGAGATTATATTTTGCATAATGAACCTGCTGATATTCAAAGTATAGAAGATACTACCGAAGAAAGAAACATAATTACATATGAAGAGAATTTAGAAAAAATAAATAGCAAATATAATTCTTCTAATAATTTTACTACTTCAGTGACAACAGAATCTATTAGGGCTGATTCTATTAACATTCAAGACTTTGTATCTCATGAAAATCATAATTTACGACGTAACTCATCATGTAGTTTATCAAGCGATGGTGACGATTTTAAACAAGTTATGCGTAACGGCAAAGTACTCGTTAAAAGTAAATTTCATAGATTGAAGAAGAAAAAGAAACAAAATAATAATATGTCTATACAAGAGACATACAATAAACAATGTACAACGGCTTCCAAGTATAGTATTTCACATAATCAGGATAGTGTACCATGTAATGTTTCTGGCATATTTGAAAAGCAATCTAAATCAGAAATTCAGCCAGATTCGTTATTACAATCTACAAAAAGTGATTACTTTAAGACGTGTTCGCGAAATACAAAATTAAATTCACATATAAATAATGCACAACAAAATATCCAGCATGCATATAATTTTCAAAATTCATGCATAAATAATGAATCTTCTGGATCTAATGTAGATGGACAGTACTTTCCGTGTACATCTATATCTGACGAATTTGTAACATCAACAAATGATGCATTACAGAGCTACCTTAATGAGGATTTACAACAATATGAACATAAAAGGCAGTTTAGACATAGACAACATCATACTTCTTTTTCTAATAATGCACACAATGTGACTCATATTCCTCACGCAGAAAATTGTACTTATTTTTCTGATAGCTTGAATCATAATTTGCCAAATGATAAAAATAATTTTGATCATTCACCAAACAAAAATATTACAGAATATGAAAAACAAATTGAACAATTTTTATCATCTCTACGAATCGAAACTGACGAATTGCATTTAAAATTGTACAAATTGCAAATGCTTCATGATTAAATTAATTATTGTATATAAAAATAATAGCTATATTGTAATAAAAATTTGTATGTAAAATAATATACTGTACTATTATACGTTACATTTTAACGTTAAATGATTTTATTTATTTGAATGTTATCCGCCGGCTGTGAGTTAGGGGAGTCGGATTTCTAAGGCGTTTCTTTAAGGGGAGGCAAAAAAACACCTTACGAAACTCGTCTCGTGAGAATTTGGGGTACGCGCTTGCTGTGTCCGTCCTTTATTCGCAAAATAATCGTTTGAGCAACCCACCTACTATACTTCAGTTGGTCACCACATGCTATCGAGTGAAGGAGTCTCTTGATCGCGTTCGCGAGTATCGTCACTGTGTTAATTAGCAAATCTATCACTTTTTCACTCTGCAAATTACGTTTGCCCGTAAAACTTATACGTAACGGTACACGGTAAACTTATGTTATTCTTTAGAAAATATTTTAAGAGGGCCTCGACTTGTGTAATACAATAATATAAAAAAGTAAGCTTTTGAATGTTCGGTACATTTTAGTTTATTTAAATTGTAACTTAAATTGTACTCCCGCAACTTCTACTCTCGTATGCTAGAGGCGCTGTAAGCGTTTGAACTACCAATGACGTTCGTCACGTGATTGAATTTATTGAAATTAGAATCGAAAGCCTTCGTAGTCAAGTGCGTTTAAAAGTTTCGAAGTTTTTGTGTAATTTATATTATTTCGTTCGGTTTTATCATTTGTGTATCGTTATCTGGGATCGAAACATCTTCCGATTAAAGAAAATTCGGACATTTAGATTCTCATCAAGATATGTTTAAACCTAAAACAATGCCAGCGGACGGAGTACGGGATAAAAGTCAGTTGTTCAGGTAATTATAATTATTCATATAATTTTATTTACATTTATTTATTATGTGTATTAGATGTAATATAAAATGTAAGGTAGTATGTAATTTCTATATGTATATTGATTATTAGCAGTGATGCTATTACGATCTTCTGAGAAGAATTTATTGGTTATTAGTACTTTTAATGATACAAGTTATATTAACCATTCAAGTATACTATACGTATAGTTTTTACAATAACGTACAAGTGGTTTACAATAAAATTATGTAAATTATACAATGTACGTGAATTTGTAATTTTGATTATAATTATTGATTGAATACTCTAAACAATTTCATATTACATTTGTCATATATTACATAACATCGTATTATAAAATAGAAAAAAATAAAAAAATAATTGTATACTTTAAAATTCAAAGTTAAGGTTATATCTTGAATAATTTTACTTTTTAATATGTTGCTTCTTTTGTTCTTCTGCATATCAATAAATATTACAAATTTTACAAATTTATTAACATGTGATGAAATAATACTTCGGTTTCTGGATTCTTGTTTAGGGAACGAGGCTTTGCAAGGATCACTCGGTTATTGAAAGACAAAATTCATGTCGAATAGCGTAATTAGTTAGGTATGGGGTTTGTTTTGGACACTAGTCAGTTGTTATTCCCACCAGTGTCTGGAACTGGCTTCGTGTGACTAGACTCCGACCTTATCTAAGGTATACAAACAAGCGTGCCTGAGACCTTCCATCGATAATGTAGCTCCTTAGTTTACTCGCATTCAGTGAAGGGAAAAGACACGAGATTTTCTGGAAGACGTACCACAAACGAGGTATACGAGTAGATATTACATCCAATATATTTTCTCGGCCCATTTTTCTGGGGATCTAGAGCCTCATTACCATTTTCGCGTGACTCGTAACATTACCAACAGGTTACAGAAATTAACACAAGAAGAAGACAGAAATTTTATTGTTTTTTAACGGAATGAAAGCTGTACGGTCCAGAATTTAGCATCAATCGATTGATTTATGATTATGATTGTACCTCAATTATTTCTGCGACAGTAGTATTCTTTTCCGTAAATAATGTAATTTTAAAGACATCAAATTGCACGTTCTTGTTGTAGTGAAATTAGTATGGAGAATTGGATTTTCCCAGTAGCGCACGTTGGCCACTTTATGCACTTGATTCGTGTTGCACCGAGGGTGAATCAAATGGACGATAGCGTGACAATCTTCTTTATTGACAAGCATAAAGGCAGCGGTCAAGTAAGGTAAGTGCAGAAACGCATTATTTTATTTTCACCATGTGTCAGACTGAACACATAATTATAGACGTGACTTAAATGAGTCTTCGCGTAATAAAGGCTATTAACAACCATTATAAAACTATTATAAATAAGAGTCGATGATTAATTATATCTTCATTGTTGCTTATGGTCAGAAATCCAAATACTTGTTAAAATAAGTTTTTTTTACGAGAATACAATTATTGTATTGTACTGTACGAGACCGTATATAAAAATACCGGAAGAATTATGTCTTTGAAAGGGAGCCCGTACGATCTTCTTTAATTATAAGATGCGTCCTATGCGTGTATAATACGTAGTTTGCAATTCGTACATTACACGAAGATAGAGCTATGGATAAACCGTGCGCTGACGGTGCAGGGCGTTTAAACCGAGAATTATTTTTCACTCGCGAAAAGAGCAGAAGCGAAGTGTCTGCTCTCGCGGCGATTAGCATACACGAACACGCCACTCGGTGTACATTTCGGATAGCCGTAGCGCAACGTTACATGTGTCCTCCCGTACCGAGACAAGCATCAGAAAATTGTTGACAGGTGGTACCAGCTTCGGTACCAAGAGTTGCATCTCACTTTCGCCGTTGCGTGATCTCAATTCACATGACAACTCTTTTGTGGGAAATAAAACGATGCAATTAATCGAGACGTCCTCCTACACAAAGTGAGTCACCGGACGTTAAAATGTATATAAATGTATGTAATAGCATTCATTGAGACAAAACTTGGAAATATAGTTCAGCAAATAAATATAAATAAATCAAAGGAATAGCTGATTATGTTGTAATCCTGTAGATCCAACTTGTAGCAACAAAATCAGAGGATCAAGGTCTAAGATTACCCCATAAGGAGTTTGTAACGTGTTTCTCATTTCAAATACAGCGGAAAACGGTGTTAATGGGTTCTTTAATACTTCTTGCGCGGAATTGTTTATCATTGTTACGCGTTGTTGCAACGGCATTATTGAGCGTTGTACAAGCACTGAAATCGGACGTTTGCAACGATAAAAGTCGTGCAATACCATTGCACGCAACACAAAGGGTGTACGATACAACAACGAAGTATTGAAAGTCATAACACCGCATCGCGCGAGTGTAATGTACATAACGTACCACAACGTTTGAACATGATTCATGACGTATACGGGTTTTATTGTTCTGTCATGGTTCTTTGTATGTGCGTCACTCGACGATATGAATGACTGCTCTTCCATTATGAACGTAAGGTCCGATGTAGACATTTAAACTCGATGTATGTATTAAGTTGGGAAGATAATGGTATAATATCATATTTTAGAATTTGATTGCGTTACGATTATATTCCGACTATAACGCGATACTGCTCCATTAGGGTTCGCAAATTAGGCCACGTTTTTAGGGAAGAGGGAGGGCACAAGAACTGTGACAATTCGTGACTTAGAAGAATTTTGTTTTATTTGAGAGATATAGTGTTTCTTTTTAATTATAATTCTTCGTATATGGCTCACACCAAGGTTCGACCACGATTGAAATATAACGTAACGATACTCTCTATTTTTTTAGGGTAGGGGGGACATCTTGCAAAAAGTTTAGAAACCACTGACTTAAAATCTCGACAACCACGTGTTTCTTTTCGCTTCTATGAACTTGTTGTCGAAACGAGTATAGACTTTCGGCTCCCTTATTGACCACCGCGGACATCTTGAATATCAGTTTACACGGGTGGAGGATGGTACACGCGCAGCGATGAAAAGTTGTCACAGTCGGTTAATCTACGTGGAAGGGGTAGGACTTGGTAGACAAGACGAGGGTGCGCGGGGTGGAGTAAAGAGGGGTTAAAAGGAAAAAGGCTGGTAAAGTAGCAAAGGGAAGCCGACACGGTGCGCCGCGGCGATATCTGCCAAGAAACTGGTGGCCGTGATGTAGCGCTCCGCCGGGACTTGAGTTATGTTTCTCAAATTACCGTGGATATATGTCCGTATACCGTGAGTGAAGCACGCGAATTATGCCGTTGTCAAGACTTCTCTGTGCACTTATGGCTCCCGCTAATTCCTTATTCGACGAACGCATATTTTGATTACAATCAATCGCTTAGAACTTTAGATGCGTCCCGAAACATGCAAAACGTATCAATCTAGAACGTTTCAATATTCGAACGAGAACTTACAGTCGTAGAAATATTCAACGATGAGTATTTTGCAACTCTGGACGATTACTTTATTAACGATTAAAAAAATATATAAAGCTCGTTTAACAATAAAAAATAAAGAATGACTTCAAAGTATCTGATATTTATCGAGACATCAAGTTTGATGCTTAACCCTTAAGTAGATTATTGTAGCAAGTAATCTTCTATTAGTTCATTATTTTTTAAATGTTTTAAAGGAAAGTTGATTTCCATATACCGATTTGGTAAAAATCAACATTAAATGAAGTAATTCAGTTGGGATTGAGAGTCCACTTAAGGGTTAAAGTTATCTACCTTGCTATTATTGAACAGAATGTTTGCTAGAATCTTGGAACATTAACTATGCGTAACCATTAAAGTGAATTACGACGGAGACAAAAATTTGCCAATTACTAATAATTGCTCGGCCGCATGATCGGGTACCGTGAGTAGAATATCGCCGTGATAAGATCTAAAATATGATGGCATCGACCGTTTTTCGACGAAGTTATACATACGTAATCGCGTGTACCCACGCGCAGGTGCCGATCGTGAACGATCGATTTGCATCGCCGGAGCCCGCAGGATGCAGGACTTTCGTTATTCCTTGGCGTTTTGTATGCTCTGCGCGTCTTCTTTTTAATGACTTAACGCTACCGATCCGCATAACCACCGTCCTTTGCTGAGAAACCGCCGCAAAGAGAGCAAAG